TATATATGTATAAAAATGTAATCACCTTATCAGCTTGTTAAAGCCTTGCACCGCCCACCCATGCAGCATACCGATTTAAAGCTAAATAAATTCTGCTTCTGCATTATATCTGATACACTTTTATTTTTCGTCTTTGTTAAGAGACACTCGACGTATGGTCACTCAAAACTGACCTTAAAAAATCAGACTTTGCAAAACCTTTGGGCATCGACTCTATTAAATTTTGGACATTTCACCCCAAATGTCAGTGAGAGTTGCAAAAAAAGGGTATGAATTGAGAGCACAGTCGCTTTTCTTCAGCCGCTGTTTCATGGGCCTTCACATACTTGTAGGATTGATATCGGGGTCATTTACTGGTGACCATTCCAACTTTGATATGATTTGGTTTTCCAAAAATTGTCTAGATACGGCATCGGCTCTGTGAGGAAGTGCTTTGCTATGTAGGTATGGAGATATCTACTTAAATGACAAAAATAAGGGTAAGACATGACGTTCAAGCACTTGCGCGATGTAATCTACTAAACTAAGCCTTCCAGTGACTTTCATGAAGGAGATTTTGTTCATTCCACCCACGACAGTGGCAGTTTTGTGGCCTCTGTTCTTCACTGACTTATTGTGTCCAAAATCTTACTAACACAGTCTATTAAAAAAAAGGTTTCGTGCTCTACATGAAACCAAGTATAGCTCCAGAATAAAACAAAATCATACTAATGAGCATATGTGATGTTAAGTCCAGGTTTTGCGTGGTATTTTGAAGCTGCTCTATTTTCAGATATTATGTTTGAAAATATCGCCAGAAGATGCTGTTCATTGCAGACACAATAATATTCTCTTTTCACTTGATATTCAATAAAGTATATCAATTCCACCAATGCTGATGCACGTCAATACACGCGCTGACAAACTTTTATGTTTTCGCACATTTCTGCCAAGCCTGATTTTTAAGGTAAAATTTGAGTGATCGTGATACTGGGCGTCTCTTAACATAGATAAAATATTAGTGTGTCAGATGATGCAGAATGTATTTAGCTTTAAATTGGTATGCTGCACGAGTAGGTAGTGCAAGGCTTTAACACGATGATTGGATGGTTACATTTACAAGTTTCATTTTGACACCACTATACGAGTGTAATATACGTATGTGAAGATTGGAGTTTTAGCGGCAGGGAGCTAGATGGTAGGATGAGGGGTTATACATGTAGTTAAGAAGGAGGTGATACACATGGCCTCTCTTTTTTCTCTTTAGGCTTTAGGTATAGATGTTTAATTCCCCTATCGACACTATTTGGATTATTAAAAAATTAGGAAGCAGGCTTCGACCATACCTTTCTTGTCCAACCCGAATTGAGAGGGATATAGCGTCCTAGCTGAAAGATATAGCTACTCGATAAAAGTTCTGTCCCCAAAAGGGAATCGAAGTCAGGTCTACTGTGTTTGACGGTGAGATACTTTACCGCTCCATCTTTTAAAAAATAGTAAGTGTTTTACGGCACTTGCAACACAATAAGAAGGTCATATAAGTGCCGAACCGCTCCTTCACTGACGCAGGTACACCCTGATTCATTATTCTTCCATGACAGGTAAGAGCTCTCCGAGAAAGATGATTTTTTCTCTGTCTTTAATCACAAGTTGTTAGCACTCTTAACAAATGGGTGGAAGGTGAGTGCTGTGGTTTCGGTTTGTTTCTTTTCTTTCAAACACCAATTGTTCATATCTCTCATACCTCCTCTCTTTTGTATGTGAATTACTCTCTGGTTGATATTACCTCTAACTTCAACAGCCATGATATGGCCCTGTCGTTTTTCAAGTGTCGTGAAACTCATACAAAAACAAAACTGAAACTTAACTTCGAGAAAGATCGTTATCTCTTATTATCACAATCTTCCAGTCTTCCCGACAATAAAACTAATTTATGGCGAGAGGGAGGTACCCCTCAGGGATTTGGCGGACTCTTTGTTTTTTGTTTTGTTTTGAGCTTTTTATTATTTTTTTTTCTTTATTTATCCCACTATCGTATCATGGCTCCCTGAAGTCCCGGAGAACTAGAGCATTGTTGTAATTCATGCGCCGAACTCTCACCAGAATAATATGGAGTATTGTTCTCAGCAAATGGAGGTTTGACGTGTTCACTGCTGCACAGTGCGAGCTAGATGTTATCAGTTATCAAAGCGGAGTAATCAATCATCATTGTGGAGGTTTGAGGACAGGCGTGGACAAGGTGTTGTCTGTTAGTTGTAGTTCTCTAAATGGGACAAGTCTATGATGTGTGCAGTTTTAGAAGAGATTTTCAGGCGCTCGCAACTGCATAAGGTCATATGAGCGCTAGAAGATTAGAGGTGTTACAAGACAGTAACAAACACAAAAAGAAGGAGGGGAGTTAAAGACGATAGACGTTTGATAGGAAAGAAGAAGCAAACCACACCAGAGCACACGCCAACCACCCACGGACAAGCCTGTGATGTGTGAAGTTTTATAGGGACATGTCTGTTGAGGAGGGGCCAGAGGGAGCTTTGTTCAGAGCCAATTGGTCGCTTTTTAAGCACAAAGGGGCTATCCCGAAAAATGCTGTTTTGAGAAAATCGAAGGTAAAGTTTTTGCCCCTTGTTCAGTTTCTTTAAAAGAGCTTTCTCTAAAACCAGACAAATGTACACACCAATGAAACCAAACTTCTGCTAGAATCTATAGGTAGGGCAATGCCCACTTTTGGTGTAGGTCAAGATTTCTGGAAACCCCGGAAATCTGGGTTAGCCCGTTTGTCCTGAAAAGCGACCAATTTTCAGTTTCAGAAAATATATGTATCCTTTTAAGACAGATCTCTGTTACTCATCCTACTTTTTGAATAAGGACAGACTTTTCCAAAAACCCTTTTTTATGACCGAAAAGTAATGCATTGTGTTTATTGTAAATTGGTTTTTTTTCCTTCTGAAAGTTTAATCATTTCTCGTGCTAAAATCTTCCGACAAGACAGAGATATTTATGTTAACATTATTCCGTGAAAATTTCGCTGGTGGAAGGTTAAAACTTTCAAGATACAATGTTCTTCATAAAGTATGCCATGGAGAGAAAAAAAATTAAAATCCAAGACCAATTTCTTTTCGCTATTTACGAATAGGGTCCTTCTCATTTTGGTCTAGGATTTCCAACGATACTTTTGGACGTGAATGGTATGTACTGTGTACATCAATAAATGGCTGAGATCGCAATGGTTTCAACGACACTGCTTTCTAGTGCTTTCTCTCTACGGAATGACTTATTGCGAAGGCTCAAATTTCAGTCATTTCCTGAGTGCTTGCAGAATTAAAAACACTCGGCTTACTTGCTGGCAATACATTTAAGTTTTATATACTCTTTCATGCAAAACAATCTCCAGTAATGGATTACTTCTACAATTTCTCGTCAGAATTATTTGTAATATTTCATCCCCAGACCAGTAAATGTTTCTGGTATCTTTCCAGTTGATTGCCTTACATGGTTCAGTTCGCTCTTAGCCAAGGACAACTGCTCAGTAGTGAAAGAGTTAAATACCAATGCAAGGTACAACGCTGGTTAAAAGCAGAGAGGGTCACTGGTAAAAGTAGACTAAATCACTGCACACACCCCTCCGCCTTTTAAAATTTGAGAGGGTCTATCTCGCATGGGGTTGCGCGACCCATATGTTGCCCCGCCCAGAGAGGAGACCCCGAGCATTCGCAGTAGGCCAAGGAAGTGCCACAGGACTCAGGTGGCGTTGGTAGTCGAGTGGTAAGGTTAATAGACACGTCATCGTGAGACTGCGGGTTCGGGGGTTCAGACCTCAGTTCGGCCGGACGTTGTGCCCTTGGGAAAGGCCCTTTGCACCAATTTCCTATTTGGGGCGAAAGCTTTGTATACGGATGTTTAACTCGTAGGTCCCGTCTTTTAAATAACCTTAGAGTGTTGTTGGGGGCGTTAAACATTATACCATTTCATTTTTTATATGGAAGGTTCAAGTTGACTTTTACCAGAACAAGTTTCGCGAGTTCGTATTTCTCACTATACCCCGCCCAAAAGTTCTGAATACAAGAGCTGGCAGGAGTCCAAGTCGGGGGCCGGATTAAGAGCGCAGGGGAAAAACGGGCATAGTCACAAACTGAAAGTCGTGAGAGTAGCAATGTTGAACGCTTGTTGACTCATAACTGAATTTCTGTTCAGCTGTTGGTTGATTGTTGTTATTTGATTTCCTATTCATCAAACATAACCCCAAAAATAAAAAAATAAAATAAAAATAAAATAAAAACCCACCAGTCAAACAAATTATGAAGTTCGGAGTTCACAAGCTTAAAAAATGACACCCTTACAATGTCCAGTTTGTGACTGTGCCCATTTTTCCTGTGTGCTCTTTGAATGTCTCATTGACCAAAGCAGGAGAACACTGGCTAAATTCTGTTGAAATAGCCAAATTCTCTAATGCGAGACGAAAAGTAATACAATAGCGTCATGTCAATTCAAAGGCATGTCACGAAATAGTAGCCTATAAATTTTAATATTATTTTTATGTTATGTATTGCTTCAGTGTGGACAGGAAGGTATTTCATCAGATTGTAATATCTAAGGCTATTTTTGCTTCAGTGTGGACCCGGAACTACTCATTTCTTTTTTTCAAGACGGACACTTTAGTTTTGACTGATTTTCAACTCACCGCGGGCGATATTAAAATATTATTCATTATATAAATTACTATATTAATGACTGGGTGGGCTCGCATCGTCATCATTGCCTTTCTAACCCTGGATCAAGATATAGGCCACGAACAAACACTTTCCACCTTTCCCTATCTTGGGCTAGTCACTTAATGTCACTCCTTGTCTTCCCACTTTTCTGTACATCGCCGGCTCACACGACATACTAACCCCCCCCCCCCCCCCCGGGGCGGTGCCACTGACTAAAGTGTCTTTAGGCCATTCCCAAAAGGGGGACATTTCTCGTTCTAATGCACAGTAGAATTGTAAATGGGCTGATCCAACTATGTCATGCTCATAACTTTACTGTGCCTGAACCTTAACAGGGAACTGCTGCTTTTTCTTTCCTAATCCTTACCATCGTCCTTTTCCTCTACTTCTTTTGTATGTTTGTCACACTCGTGTGACCCGCTATTTTCGGGGCACCTTGATAGTCGAAATAGACTTTGTGCTGTTGAAGCTAGAGAAGTGAGCAGAGTAAGTCTGATTTCCTGTGAGGACTTCTCTGCTGACATCCACCCCTTGGCGCTCATATGACCTTATTATGCACTTGCAAGCGCCGTAAAACTTCTACTAAATAAAAATAAAAACTCCATGTCTTCCCACTTTTCTGTACATCGCGGGCTCACAGGACATACTGAATTCTGTAGGCAGACGGGATTCAAACCGCCGGCCGCCCTTTGCTGTACCCACGGTTTTATGCGCCCCAAAAATTATGACTTTATGCAAACTTAGCCCAAAAATAAGAAATTATGCGATTCTGTAATTTTAACAAAGAATTATAAAGGAAAATAATCAGAACTTATACAAAAAATGATCAAATTTTGCTAAATTATGCGGGGTGCATAAAACCCCGGGTACAGCCTTTGCTCCTGTGTGACACGTAGATTAGTAAGCAGAGTCATTCCTTGAACTTTTTCCAGGTTTTACAGTGTCACTCTTGACAAGGAGAGATTGCAAGTTCAAAAGTCTTCAACCTTATCTCAACCCCAACGGTACTAAAGGCACCGGCTGCTGACTGCTTCAGCCCGAATAGCACGGCTGTCTTTGTGTGTGTGTAAGTGTGTGTGCGCGTGTGTGTGTGTGTGTATGTGTTTGTTTGTTTGTATGTGTGTGTTTGTATGTGCCTATGTGTTTGTTTGTGAGTTTAGGGATGTGTATTGTGTACTTAAGTGTGTATGCTTGATTGTGAGTGTGTTTGTGTGTGTTCTTGTGTGTTTGATTTTGTTTGTGTTTGTAGTGTGTGCGCGCGCGTGTATGTGCATGTGTGTGTGTGTGTGTGTGTGAGTGTGTGTGTGTGTGCGGGTAGATGCGTGTGTGTGCACGCTCGTGTGTGTGTGTGAGTGTGTGTCTGTTTTTCAATTTCTTGTTCCCAGATTTTGCTGACCTTTGCTTGTCCCTTCACATTACATGACGTTTCACTTTGGAAAGACAATATCGATACCAGAACCGCTCTTACTATCGGCAATGATAGTACATAACAAGATGGGCCACTTCTCTCTTTGAGCCATTTAAAAAAGTGTCCTCAAAATTTGGTGGCGCCCTCTTCACAAAAGCGCACTTTTGCGAACAGAGTTACCCTACTTGAGTTTTAAAAAATGAAAGTGAAACTAGCAAGTTTTGGGATAAATTACGGAAGAAAACGTTTTTAAAATGGTTACGCTGACAAAAAACCTCTTCCGGAGAAAAGGGTGATGGTTTTCTTCGATTAATTTGACTTTAGAATGAAAGGCGAGAGGTCATTAAAATAAAAAACCCTAAAACTCCGCACTGAACGTACCCGAACTGCTGATGAACAGCAGTCGATCTGCGCACGCAAGGACGTGTTATTCCTATTCTTCTTTTGGAAAAACGAAAGAGAGCTTCAAAACAGACTGCAGCGCCATCTGAAGCAAAGAGCATACTTCCTGCGGACACTTTTTTGGCTGAGTGGCCCATCTTGTTATTCACTATCTTTGCTATCGGCAAAGATCGTATATAACAAGATAGTTCCGTCAGTCAAAAAGTGTCCGCGGAAGTCCGTTCATTGGTTTAGATGGCGCTGCTGTTTTTGTTTTGAAGCTCTATTTCGTTTCTCCAGAAGAAGAACAGGGATAGCGCAGTTGGTTAGTTTCGCGTTTATTGTTTTTTTTCAGAAGTAGGGTAACTCTGTTCTCAAAGTCCGCACTTTTTCGAAGAGGGCGCCACCGCATTTTGAGGACACTTTTTTATTTGGCTGAAAGAGAGGAGTGAACTATCTTGTTGTGTGCGATCTTTGATATCGATAGTAGATCTATGCTTAGGTAATATCGATAAAAAGTTAATCTTCGCCACCATTTCTCCCTAACTTTCAGTTAAGTCCGATTTTGTTAAAAAGGAATAAAAAAGAAACAACAACAACAACAAAAACCAGCAAAAAAAAAAAAAAGCAAAAAGCCCTGAAAACCATTTTGATTGTTTTCTGAATTTTAAAAATCTCCTTTGTCAGAGTACTCTTTAAAAAAAATTATATCTCCCTCTAGACAGTCTTCCTTTATTTTTTCTGGTGAAGCTCAACTACACACCCAATAAAAATGTTTCATCTTTTGAGTCAAACGATTACTGCAGCCTGTAGCAAATTTTGCGAGAACAACGTTATTTCCTAAGTTGTGCTATTCAAACATCGTCACGGCATGTGAAATAATAACGTTATTTTGTCTATTCATCCAATGCCAACCTAGCGTCCCTGACTGGATGACCACAGGTATACTGGGCTCCTGGATTTACAACATCACCGCCTAGGAGAGTTTCATTTGGCACTACCAGTACACACACAGAAGGATTGCCACATCTGATACAGACAGGAGTAACTAACGAAAGGGTGAGTTGTGTGCGGATATGAATTTGTATGGTACAGATTGAGTGTTATTGAGTCGATGTGATCCTCTTTACTCACACAAACTATAATTTGGTTCCTGCACTTTGAGTAACCTAGAAGTGTTTTGGTCTTGAAGATTTTAGGAGCGAACTAGTGTCGAGAGAAAGCTCAGACATTGCATTATGGCGACGTGGTGAAAGTACTATAGTGCGGTAAAAAATTCGTGATGCAACTTATCTTCAAAGTATATCTCTTTATCGGGTGAATCAATGTCATCCATACTTTACACAGCTTTTTGTATCAGTTTGTCTTAACTTAATCACATTTTTTTCTGCAATAAGTGAGGCTAGATTAAATAACATTTCTTCATAAATTTATATAAATTAATTATAAATCTTCGTCACAAAGAAAATGGGATTGTTCACAGCACTTCCCTCTTCTCTCTCACATATTTTGTACACGTACGCATATGGCCTTTGCCACAGCTCAGCAATGACACTTTTTGATGACAAAACTTGTTACAAGCCATTAATTTTATAGTGAACACTTTTCTTCACTAAAGATTCTCAAAATATGCGTTCGATAAAGATAGTATCACTATTATGGGAAAAAAGGACTTGCTTGTGAAAGCGATATTGTCCCCCTGTAAACCCCTTGCTTAAAATCTGTAGAAACCACTCACTTGGATTTTTGAATTCGTATTTATTAGTGAATTTTCTAGAATGCAGCTACAGGTGTTAACAAAAATATTGATCTTTTAAGACAAATTGATACAAGTCATCGTGCAAAATCTGGAAGTCTATGTTCAATAGTTTAGGAAATATTTGACTAATAAGTTGCGCCACGAATTTTTGGACCGCACTAAAGGCGAGTATATCTGTACTTCTACAGTCTAGAATGAGACACACTGTGGGCCAGTCACGCTTGTCTTTCCTAACCGTTACGTTGGTGTACCGAAAGGGGGGTAGGCCCATCATCATGAATTTCGTTCGGGAATAGTACCCTACGTCACAGTCTTTCAACTTTGAACTCGGACTGCAGAACTTCGGGATTATGGAAAATGTTAAACAACGCTTTTAGTTTCACTTTTAGTAGAGGTTTTACAGCGCTCTCTACTGCATAAGGTCATATGAGCGCCAGAAGATTAGAGGTGTTACAAAAGAGTAACATACATAACAAAGAAGAAGGGGAGATAAGGACAATAGATGTTTGATAGGAAAGAAGAAGCAAACCACACCAGCGCACCCACCAACACTCACAAATGACGTTTTCCTTTTTTAAATCGTTTTACACATTACATGAACCAGCCGACTCTTGCAACCAGCGTCTGTGGTGTAGCGGTTAGCAGATAGGCGCTTCGCTTTAACGCGAAGAAAACTTGTGGCTTGTGAACCAGGACAAGGCCAGGAGTCCCAGATACAACAACTATGCCACCCTTCAAGGACGTAGCGGACACGTTATACAGGGTGCCCACTACGGATGATCGGCCGATCGGGCTGATCGGGCCGATCGCCCGCGACTCGGTCGCCTCAAAAAACAAACGTGTTTGTTTTCAGTTTCAGGCGACCGAGTCGGGACGATCGGCCCGATCCAGCCGTAGTGGGCACCACGTATTATGTCCTACTAGCTGCAGACCAAAGAAATTCTTTGGGCACAAGCATGTCTAACCATTGGGCACACGTCAGGACCATGAATTCGCGTTTTTCATCGCGAGTTTATTGTTATTGGCCTTGTTATGTCTCAGATAAAGAATGCAGAAGTGAAAGTTCTATATTATTGTGAAGAATTTTACCCTACAACCACCCGCGGTCAAAGTGCAAGAAGTGGGAGAAAATAAAAAGTACAAGCCTTTTTTTTAGTTGGGTGCATTGACGCTTGACCCCACATTTTATTTGATATCTGTGCCTATTTTTGGGGGAGAAAAAAACATGTATCACTGACAGGAGTGTTTGGTTTTAGACGTTATCTCTTATCTCTTACAAAATCGTACGACGTTGCAGAAGGCGTTAAACCTTCATACTTTCTCTTTCTTTTTATCGCTCCCACTCTCATACATCCACACAAGGACACACACACACACGCACGCACATACACAGACACACACACGCATACATACACACACGCACACGCATACATACACACACGCACATACATATATACACACAAGCACATATACGCACACAAGCAGATCCACAAAATCGTACCCACACATACAAGCACGTACACACATACATATACTACGCACACGTAACTTCTTTCCAAGTCACTATTTTAGTTATCGCACCTCTCTTTTTTTTTGGTAAGTGTTTTACGGCGATCGCAACTACATAAGGTCATATCGTCGATGGGATTCACATACCAAAACATGCAGAAAGGCAATTTTTACAGATGGGACAAAAAGCTGATTATTGTTAAAACACGCTGCACAATCTTTCATATTTTTATACAAAAGTTTAAGTTATAAGTGTTGGGACCACTTACTATTTGATTTTTCTTAAATACCACAACCGATAGTTTTATTTCGCATGAAGCAGGTTATGAAATGGCAAACAATGTGCAGCACAATGCAGGCGGCCAGTTGGTTCTCTGCAGGTGGCCGGTTCCCTGCACAGCCGTGACACGAGGAGTCATGTAGCCGGTTTGGCCAAAGACAAAAAAGTACATGTACACTAGTCATCTCCGGTTTGGCGCAGCAGTGTGCCACTGTTCGCCGTCATAATAAGTATATAGGCCGAGATGTACGTGGACGACGGCGAGTTATAGTATTTAAACTAATAGATTAGATCTTTCTTAATGAAAGCTGACTGGCTCAAACTGGGTTCCATCTTAACCTGGTCAATTCATGCACAAAATGATTTAGATTAGAATGACAAGTTTAGTGCTTTGACAGGTTCTTTATCAGTAAATCAATTAACCCTGGTTACTGGGAGGTATGGTTTCAAACTTTTCACCCGTCGATTCATAATAAAGTTAACAACTTAGCTGCTCTCTCGCCGGGTATTTTACATTATGTGACTTAAGTACTAGGAGAAGTCGTCGACCCAGTGTCTGAAGGCCAATACTGTGAACAAGTGCATTGGTTAAGGTTCATCGCCCTATCAACACTATTATGTTATTGAAGAGGAAGAGGTGGGGAGGGGGGACTATATCTGCTTGTGTGGAAATTTAGCTGTACTACGTGAAACATCCCAAAATGTCAGGTCATCAATTGTTTGACTAGAATTGTTAATAAGAAGACCTCTCTATGTTTACAAAAATATCAAACAAAACCCCAAACCAACCCAAATTAAGGTGTTTGAAAAGCATCTTGCATGAACCACTGGTCTTGGCAATCCAAGTGCCGGTGTCTCCCCACATCCGTCCAGAATTTCTTCAGCACCTCGATGTATCGGTCTGTGTTCACAGTTGCAACATGTCCGTCTGCGTCTTCAAAAAAGAGGACACACCAAACCATGAGCGCTTAAAGCCACCCACACTGCTCACCTTTCTGAAGGACAGGATATTTCAAAACCAGTTAGAAAACATTGAAATTATGAAACAAGCAATCCGTGATGAAGTGAGAAACATTCCGCGGGAACTGTGTTTGGTCGTCATCAAGCATTTCAAACGACGCGTTAAAAGATGTTTGGAGTCCAAAGGAGGACATGTGGAGCATTTGTTTTAGAAATTTCAGAACAAAAATGTTTGTTCTTTAACTCCATAAGAGAAGTTAAATATTGTTTAATGTCACAAGGAAGGAACAATTAAATGTAATACAAAAAAAAAGAAGACAAAGATCAAATCAATCGTCACATGACTTTCCTTGCGAGAGAGTCTTTTTAGTAAATTGGCGCATTTTGTGTTTATGGGTGTTTTATTTTTTATGCTTTTTCCGTTCTGAAAATAAGTTTCTTCTGTATGAATTTTCTGAAAAAACACATCCTTTTCAATGAAGTTTATCTGTTTCAAATTTCATTGTTCTAAAACAGCGTTTGCGCGAGATATGTCGAAAAAAAAATCACCCTGTGGACCTTTCATGTACTTATTATGTCTCATCTAGATGAATAAATTATTTGACAAACCTAATCTAATAAATCGAATCACACAAATTAATGCTTTATATCAAAAGTCACACCATTGTTGACTGTAATATTATTTATCTTGATGAACACCGATAACAGTTTAAAATTCTGTCTAGTTCAAGAAAAAAAACGACGGAACGGTCAGGGTGAGACGCGGCGGGGAAGCATGTTACAGCCTAGACAGTTTTCGATGACACATGTCAACGCGTGTCGAGACGGTCTGCTGAAACCGAACCGGCAATGTACATGTCTGGTTTGTCGATGCCATTTTTTAAAATCAGCTGCAGGTGTCCGTTTTTTAAAGTCTCTATTAAAACTTATTTCTAGCACCTGCGTTTGTTGCCATTTTTTGTCCAAAAGTTGCCGCAAGAACATGGCAAAAGTTGCCATAAAACTTGCCATCAATTTTCAAGCTTTCAACTCTCTATGACGACGAATAATATATTGGTAGCCTATAGGTAACTTAATCTTATGCAGTAGAATTTTTTGTGCTCTGTTTTAAGCATCAAGAATATCATTTGTAGCCACACAGAGTGTAAACACGAGAAAAATAAAAGTTTCACCACAGAATGAAATAAAAATTAGAACAGCACATAAACAACCGTAAATATTAACAAATAAGGGCGTGTATCCAACTATCCGAAGATTAGCCGTTTTATCTCTAAACGTGTGTAACTCAAAAAAAAAGTACAGGGCACTCCATGTAAATTATGAAATCACACACAAGGAGCCTGCCAGTATTCGGTTTTGGAGGAGACACTCTCTAACATAACACATTTTATGTGATATATATATATATATATATATATATATATATATATATATATATATATATATATATATATATATATATATATATATATATATAAGATATATATTATAGAGAGAGATATATATTATATAAAGTATATAATATATGATATGTATTATATTATATTATATATAAATATATATATATATATATATATATATATATATATATATATATATATATATATATATATATATATATATATATATAAAATATATATTTAAAGTAAAGGTAGGAACAACATCAAATGAAATGGCATTACGCTATATAAACACACACAAAAAATAGAAAAACAACACACCAGAACGATAAAAAAAAGATCTTTCCTACCAGAAGATCAGGGGTGTGGCTAAAAGACAGCAGTAGGAAGGAGCCGGGGAGAAGCAGTAGAAAGACTGCAGAAAGCGTCAGGAGCCCGGAGGAGGGGGCAAAGAAGGTGAGGGGTGGGG